TTTTTTTTTTTTTTTTGAGACGGAGTTTCACTCTTGTTACCCAGGCTAGAGTGCAATGGTGTGATCTCGGCTCACCGCAACCTCCGCCTCCTGGGTTCAGGCAATTCTCCTGCCTCAGCCTCCCGAGTAGCCGGGACTACAGGCACGCGCCACCATGCCCAGCTAATTTTTTGTATTTTTAGTAGAGACGGGGTTTCACCATGTTGACCAGGATGGTCTCGATCTCTTGACCTCGTGATCCACCCGCCTCGGCCTCCCAAAGTGCTGGGATTACAGGCGTGAGCCACCGCACCCGGCCCCCTCTCAGTTTTAAGATTCAGATCATGGCCTCAGTCCCCAAAGACTGTTGGGCCTTATCCCAACACTTGCATGCCATGGAAAAACCAGGGGAAAATCAGGGCACGATGGGCACAGATGCAGGGCAAACTCCTACCACTTCTCCTTCTCTTCCAACCAGTAAAAGAGGAGGGCTCCTGAAAACAAAAACTGACTAATGTATTACATTTCTTTGGATCCTCCTCCCCAAAACATAAATGCCAGTAGTTGATCCAAGAGCTCATCATCCATGTCTTGTAACAGAAGCTCTGTACTGCCACTAACCCACTTCATCTGTGCTCCCGAACTTTCATCATCTCCAACTGGGAGACTGAGATGAGTGACAGCATCAATCCATGAAGTAATAGACACTCAATGATCACCCAAATGGCTTCCAAGCTCTGGATAAGAAATAGAAACTGAGACCAGACCTGGCTTTGGGTGCTGCTGGGTGCCATATTGATGGGTAAAGCAGAAACTCAAGAAGGAAGTGACTTTACATCATTCAGGCTGATGCCCAAAGCAGAGGGCACACAGTTGGAAGTGAGATAAGAGGCACCCTTGAGTGGCTCCATACAAAGGACGATAAACTGAAAACACTCACCATTGTGGGATCAAGTGAAATAATTACGTACCCATGCTCCATCAGGTCCAAACAATTCTAGGAAGTTGCCAATAAATTCCCTTGACTTCTCTTCCCACTTTTGAATTAGATCATGGCTCTTTTCTTCCACTCTGTTCACAAATTCCTTTGATCTTTCCTCTACATTCTTGACTTTTTCTTTCATTTTGTCTACCTGGTTCTGGAAACGGTACCTCTTCTCCTGGTGAAAGTTTACAGGAAAAAAAAAAAAGATTTATCCAAGAGGACATGAGGGAGATCAATCATTCACATTAAAGTTCACGTTTTATTTCAATTTGTATTTGTTCCCAACCTAAAGAGTCAAGATGTTACCATTTCCCAAGGGCTTGGTTGATAGGAGGGCACACGTCTTGCAAGAAAAGTCATCTGCCATTAATCCATTTGGATATGTAAAGGGAAGCACCAGTGGTTTTAATATCTTCTTTCTTTTAAATGTCTTTGAGTTGGATTCACTTATATAAGAGGAGACTAAAAAACACACAGCTGTCTTTTGTTCTGGGTAGATATTGGGCATATAACCCCATTCAATTCTGCCAGGACTTAGACAAAAGTATGAATTATGCACAGTGAGTGTTCAGAAGCTGCCTGTGTTCTCCGTTTTACTGGGATATAGTTAAAACAATATTGCTTGAAATAAGTGGGCCATTGACTGGGCCTTGGAACTTGTGTGTTATACTAAAATTTCCACTGTAATGATATTTTCCACTACACTAATTCAACTGTATTGATTTCCTTGGTGGCGATGAAAGCTTTTGTACTGATAGTTTCTCTAGACTCAGATTTTGTTCTTCTTATGTCTTTCTGAAGCAATGTCTACTTATGTGCTTGGAAGCCATTATATGCTGGGCAAGTCACATGTCACCTCTAAACCTCAGTTTTCTCATCTGTAAAATGGGGATGATAATCATCCCTACCTTAGAGTTGCTGTGACAGTGCATGCAAAGCGCTTGGCACAAAGCATAGTATTTACTAAATGCTCAGTGTGTGTTGGTTGTTTCATTAGTATTAAGTGGTGGAGACATTTGTCTTTCTTACCTGATGAGAGCAATATTAAAACCATGAAAATAACATGAGACAAAGGCTCTTCCTCCATGAAATCATGATGTTTCTCCTAAAGGGGTAGGAAGGCTTATCATGTTTCTTTACTATGTGGGACTAAAGTTCATTTTATGTTTCAGAAATTTTTTTTTGAGATGGATTCTCACTCTGTTGCCCAGGCTGGAGTGCAAAGCCACAATCTCAGCTCACTGCAACCTCTGCCTCCCAGGTTCAAGTGATTCTCAGCCTCCTGAGTAGCTGGGATAATAGGTGTACACCACCACACCCAGCTAATTTTTTGTATTTTTAGTAGGGACAGGGTTTCACCATGTTGGCCAGGCTGGTCCTGATCTCCTGACCTCAAGTGATCCACTCGCCTCAGACTCCCAAAGTGCTAGGATTACAGGCATGAGCCACTGTGCCTGGCCTGTGTTTCAGAATTTTTTGAAGCTATATGTGTTGCCACTGATACATATATATACACATATATATGCTATGGGGGGTCATTCTGTCTTCTATGACTTACTATATGACCTTAGGTGAGTTGTTCAACTTCTCTGGGACTCTGTTTCCTCATCTCTATGTTGGACATAGTCATCACACCCACCTTGTAGGCTCATGATGAGGATTAAATGAGGTAATCCAAGTAAAACACTTGTATCACTCTTTTCCACAGTTTATTCTGCACTGGAAATAGTAACTATATATGGCTCTCAGGCCAGCACAGAATAGCTGAATGAGCACTGTACCTGGGAGTCATGAGACTGGGAAGTTGCTGCTGCCTCTACCTCTCCCTGACCTGAAGGACCTTGGCCAGGCCCCCTTTCTGGACTCAGCTTTCCTCATCTCTAAATTGAGGGACTTGGACTGGGTGACTGACTGGCATCAGGTCGCTGTCATCTCTGAGGTTCCATGATTCGTCTACACGCCCATGCAATACATCATTTCATCTCTGAGCTGCAGCCAGGTTTGCCGTCACAGGAAGGCAGCAAGTGCGTGTGAACTGCCTGCACGGTTCCTTGAGCTAAGTGGCTTATCTAAACGCCGTTTAAAGAGAGTGAGCAATAACTTTTGGAAATGGCTTGACATGCTTGGATGGTTGACCGAATTCAATTTAAAAGAACAGACAGTTTAATTTATTGAAATAACCAGGGCTTTATTCTCTATCAGATACTAAATAATCACTTTGACTGAATTATGTGCAGCCACTTGTTCTGGTGCCACTCAAACCCGACATTTTCTGACACTTCTCAACATTTTGTTGCCCAGCTTATATGAAGTCACAGAGCCTAGACTCTCAATGCTCCCTGCCTTGTAAAGATAATTCATGATCACTAATTCACAATTAATGAGCCCCTCCTATATTGAAGGTACCAATGGTCAATCGTGTGAGCTATTGGATAATTATGGCTGCATTTAATTTTAAGTATCTAGTTTTGAAGATGAATCATCCTTTGAAAACGAAGCATCTACTGTGGGGGGTTGGAATTCTGTATGTATGGAGGGTTCTTATTTTAATCAAAGATATCGGCCCCTCAGAGGACAGGCAAATATAGTTGTTCAGAACCACTAACATCACCTCTAGCAAATGGGCTACCTTCTTTGCTTTATAACGGCTTATTTTGCTTGTTTTAAATTTATTGTTATTATTATTATATAAAAAATGGCATCCTGAGGGAATCTAAGTCACTGTTAATATTCTTTGTCTACTATAAAGACACATGCACATGTATGTTTATTGCAGCATTATTCACAATAGTAAAGACTTGGAACCAACCTAAATGTCCATCAATGATAGATTGGATAAAGAAATTGTGGCACCTATACACCATGGAATACTATGCAGCCATAAAAAAGGATGAGTGCATGTCCTTTGCATGGACATGGATAAAGCTGGAAACCATCATTTACAGCAAACTGACACAGGAACAGAAAACCAAACACTGCATATTCTCACTCATAAGTGGGAGTTGAACAATGAGAACACATGGACACAGGGAGGGGAACATCATACACCAGGGCCTCTTCGGGGGTAAGGAGCTAGGGGAGGGATAGCTTCAGGAGAAATACCTAATGTAGATGATGGGTTGACGGGTGCAGTAAACCACCATGGTGCATGTATACCTATGTAACAAACCTGCACGTTCTGCACATGTACCCCAGAACTTAAAGATTGTTTTAACAATTGCTCTATTATTAAACTAACAGCAGCTCTGTGGGAACAGTATGGTAGAATTACAAAAGGAAGCCAAAAGCTTTAGGCTTTATTTAAGCAGCTGTAATTTCTTTGGACAACACAAAATGGCCATTAAGGTTTCTAATGAGCATCTTTAAGGCCTTAATCGAATGAAATTTTTAAAACATTAGAACAAAAAAGTTTATCTGGGTTTAGCTTTTCATTGCTTCTGCCTTCCTCCCTTTACTTTCAGCAGAAGATAACTCTTGCCTTTTACAAGGGGCAGATCTCCAAGAAACCCTTAAACCAAGTCTAAAAACTCTAAAGAGAGAGTTTGGGGTAAGAGGAGGGAAGCAAGGAAGCACCTTTATAAAATATGGAGCTCACTACCTGTGTTCTTTGGTAAATTTATGTTACCCCTGTGGACACTGGTTTTGTCATCTATAAAATGGGGACAATAATACATCATGGGTTATCGTGTGGGTTAAATGAGACAATAAATACAAAGCATTAAGGACACTGCACAAGCATGATGGCAAATTCCTGTAATCCCAGCTACTCAGGAGGCTGAGGCAGGAGGCTCACTTGAACCCAGGAGTTCAAGACCACTCCGGACAACATAGTGAGACTCTGCCTCAAAAAAACAAACAAACAAACAAAAAAAAAAAACGAGCTAAATCAAACTTAAAATATTATACATAGTAAGACCCATCTCTACAAAAAAGAGAGAGAGAGAACACTGCATAGCACTTAGTAAGTGCTCAATAAACAGCAGCAGTGGTGGCAGTGGTGGTGTGACATGGTGGTCTTCAGAGAGTTTGAGATGGCATGCTTACATTAATAAAGCTGACATTCAGTTCCTTGGCTGTGTACCCTCTCTGGAGGTTGCGTCGTGCATAAACATCATAGTCACGAACAATTCTGGTAATGATGTCTGATGTTGAGATGCCTTCTGTTCTCTGTGTTGGAACAAACATCCCTGTTCAAGTAGAAAAGAGCAGATAGAGGAAAAATTAAGATCGCCTCAGTTAACCCATCTCTTTTAATGGTCCCGCTTTCTAGGACAAAGTTGCCAATGAACCCTTTATGTCTGGCCCCAAGTGACTCTTCCAGCCTCAGTGCTATGGAATTTCTCCCTACCTTAAAAGCTACATGTTGATCATCTCAGACCTGTTTTCAGGATGCACCATGTACTTGCCTGGCCCCCGTTGTTTGCCCATGTTGAGCCTTTCCTTTCTGGCCTGAATACCCCTTCTCTGCTCATAGTAACTGCAAAGCTCTTCCTCATCCTGCAAAGTCCAGCTTCAAGGTTATGCCTCTGGGAAGTCTTTTCTGACATCACCAGGCAGAATCCACAACATTCAGAACCTAACTTACCTTTCATTAACAAAAACACTGGGCCAGGTATGGCAGCTCATACCTATAATCCCAGTACTTTAGAAGGCCGAGGCAGGTAGATCATTTGAGTCCAGGAGTTCGAGACCAGCCTGGGCAACATGGCAAAACCCAGTCTTTACAAAAAATACAAAAATTAACTGGGTGTGGTGGCACACGCCTGTGGTCCCAGCTACTTGGGAGACTGAGGTGGGAGGATCACTTGAGTCCAAGGTCAAGGCTGCAGTGAACAGTGACTGTGCTACCTCACTCTAGCCTGACCCTGTCTCAAAAAAAAAAAAAAAAAAAAAAAAAAAAAAAAAAAAAAAAAAAAATTTAAATATTCGTCTCCACGTAGCAAATGAACATTTTGAAAGCACCAATAACACCTTAGTTGTCTTTGCATCCCCAGCACCCAGATCAGCCCCTGTGTCTAGCACATGGAAAGTGCTCAGTAAATGCAAACTGAGTGAGAAAGTAAATCAAGACTAACAACTGAGACAATGAATTAGTAAGATCACAGCAACTCCGCTTCATCCCAAGGGACCTGAATAATGGAAACTTCCTCCCCATTATACTGAAGGAAAAGAAGAAAAGTGTACTATTTGTGTCATCTCTGATCTAAAGGCATGCCTGTAGGGATGGTTAGATGGTTTATCTTCCTAAGAACAGTCTACTGTACATGGTAGTTTCACCATTCAAAGGCCCTTTCATCTAGAATATGTGGGACTGAGTAAAAATAAACAAGAACGGAGGATGCCAAGTTCTAATGGAACTTCCTTAAAGTCTTCAGAGATAAATGTGGATATATCAACAAATATAGGGCTATAAAGAGGTCACAAATATTAACAAAGACAAGAATCAGGTTTATGTTCACACTTCTGTTGTAAACTGCAATGACATGTTGTTGGCAACTGAGATCTTTCTACGCCGTATCATTACAGCCACTCAGACAGACGCATCAGACATGGGACAGTATGATGGACAGAGCCTGGGGACAAGGGCATTGAGTTCTCAGTTTATAGATGTGGGCAAGTCACTCGAACCCTCTGAAGGCAAGTTACTTAACTGTAATCTCCTTAGCTAAGAAAAAGGTGATTAGACATGATGACCTGGGACTCATCTGTACCATTTCCTTCTCTCTCACTCCCCACATCCAACTGAGTTCCCAATCTACTTCTTAAATGTTTTCCTAATTCACCCACTTTCCTCCATCCTAAACCAATTCAACAAAATCTTGGTCAAAGATCACAGCAAGAACCTCAAAACCAGTCTCCAGTGATGTCATTTTTGTCTGCCTCAACCCACAGAGCAAGATCAACAGAGCATTCTTACTGGATGCAAGTCAGAGGTCTGCTCAAAACCCTCCACTGGCTTTCTGCTCTTCTCTGGATTCAGAGTAAAATCCTTAACTTGGCTCTGAAGCAGTTTGCATGGTCTCTTCCCTGCGCTTCCCTCCAATTTCATCTCAGACCCTCTCCCCTTCACTCCCTCTACCAAGGCCTGCGTGCTATAGTACTGCAGGGTGGACTGCTGTTGTATTCTGTAGAGCTGGGCGGTAGGCTGACTCTGCCTCAGCCTAGCCACGATGGATTTCTTCAGTGTCCTGAAAGGGCTGGCTCCCCTCCCCTCACTCTGCCACAGACATAGTCTCTACCTGGTTAACTCTTGGGCATCCATTGGGCTTCAGCTTTAGTGTCACTTCCTCAAGCAAATATCTCAATCCTCAGACTAGGCCTTCCTGTGTGTTTTTCCTTCCCATGGACCACTCCCCTTCCCTCCAAATGCAGCAAGATCTTTATAAAATAACGTGGTCAACAACCATCTTCCCCACCTGATTATAAGCTACACAAGAGAAGGGATCACACCTTTCTCTCCCTCTTCTACATTCTCAGCACTGGGTGACAGACAGACACCATAAGAATGTTTGTTGAATGAATGACTAGATGAATATTGATCTGTAAGTACCCTTCCAAATCCAGTTCTCTCTGAATGTTTCCATTTTGCAGCTCCAATGAGGGTGTCCCTTTGGAGCTTTCTTTTGATGTCATTTGCACATTTATAGTATCAGTAGGAGATTGCGCTGATGATATTGAGACAAGACAACCAGTGTCTTTTGTTTCCATGGTCAGAGGACAGTTGGGGTTTGCCACTAGGCCAAACACTTCTTTTATCACCTTCTAAGAGAGAAGAATCTAACATGGACAACCAAATGGAAGACAGAAGATGTAAACATCTAAACACATGAATATAAATATCACCCAAATTGAACCAGCTGTGCAGGAGGTTCTGGTGGGTGGGAGAACCCTCAGACGACATCCCCACCTTTGTGGGAACAGTGGGGAACATTCTTGTGAGAAATCCATCCCATCTTTCGGCAGGCAGATATTTTACTCACACCCCTCCTGCTGAAATAATAAGACCATTCTCTAGTGACTAATGGATTTTAGCAAGTCATGTAACACATCGATGCCATGAGCTTACCCCTTCTTTGAAGCCAGAAGGTGAGGTCTCTGTGTTTGAGTAACTGAAAGTAGATTTGGCTTAGGGAGAGATTTGCTTTGGCTGGTTGCGAGGTAGGTCTCTGAAAGAAGCCAAGCCCTCTGTTGACATAATGAGGTACCCGGCTTCCTTCAAATCCTAATTATTGCTCTGCTAAAAATATTCGGTAATGAGCATGATCAGAGAACCTTTTTTATCATGCTTTTCAGAATTGCGGCATTTGGTTATGGAGCTATTTTAAGAAGCAGCAAAGCACATGTTAATGAAGGAAACTTTCAACAGTAGTAGGCAATATTAGAATGGTGATGAGTAATGTGGACCTTACAGTCTATTTAATTTAAGCTCCATCTTTTCATCCAGCTTTGTTAGAGGATTTTGACACATAGTTCTGACAAGCAGAGCAGAACGTTGTAAAGCTTAATTCATGCCCTTGATATCTCTGGCTTCATTTAAAGAGACTTTTGACTTTCAAAATAAGCCACGATTTGAGTATGAGAGCCAAATATGGATGCTGAGGCCATTTCTCAGCATCTTTCTCCCATGATGAACTGTGGCCTTCTCTATCTGAGTCCCAAATAGATTGTTACTGTGATTCTCCCTTCTGCTAAGGAATCAGTAGAGCAGATTTGATGCAGCACAAGGAAGGGTCCTTGCACATAGGAAAAGTCACACTGAGTCTTACCCTGTACTACCAGGGCAAGTAAAATACCACCTGACTATTCAATTTGGAAAGGGCACTGTGGTGGATTAAAGATGGCCACAATTCCCTTCCCCTGGAATCTGGGCTGGCCTCAGTGACTTGCTTGTACCAAATGAATGTGGCGAAAGGAACTCTGTGTGACTTCCAAGCCTAAGTCAGAAGAAGCCTTGTGGCTTCTGTCAAGATTGCTTTCTCTCTAGATATTGCCTTTCAGCTGCCATGCTGTGAGAAAGCCAAGCAACATGAAGAGGCCACCTGTGTGCCCCAGTGGCAATTGCAACTGAACTCCATGATCATAGACAGCATCCAAGGTCAGCCACATAAGCGTACCATCTCGGAGCCCCAGCCCAGTCGAGCCTTCAGATGACTGCAGCCTCAACCAATATCTGACTACAACTGTTTGAGACACCCCAAGAAAGAACTACCCAGCCAGGCCTCTGCTAAAATCCTGCCCCACAAAATCATGAGTGAAATCAAGTGACTCTTTTAAGTCACTAACTTTGGGAGTCACTTTCTTATGCACCAATAGGGATGCTGGATTGCTAGAATTAGGAAAATGTTGGACCTGGTTCCTACACCTAAACAACTGGAACTTGACATTTTACTCCCCAGATCAGGAAAGCAACATATTCTTAGCGCACCGACGGCCACTCACCCAGAAAGAAAACTGCCACCAAATGCTTATTTCTATACACTATAAGGTAGCCAAGGAACTATTACCCCCAGGAAACACTGATTCAAGAAACCCTGGAGATAATTCAGCTGGATGAGAATGTCTGGTCCAGAACCTTGCTACTTTAAATGAGGCCTATGGACCTACAGCATCTAACAACTTGAGAGCTTACTAGAAATGGGAATCTCTGGCCCCACCAGACCAATTGAATCTGAATCTGAATCTGAATCTGAATTTTCACAAGATTCCACAGATGATCTGTAGGCACATCTAAGTTTCATAAGCACTGGTCTGTAACAAATCCTTATGGAAATTTTAGGAAAGGAGCAGCTGGCTCACAGCTCACATCTTACAACTACTTTAAAGGGTATTAATCAAGCCAGGCATGGTGACTCACACCTGTAATCCCAGCACTTTGGGAGGCTGAGGTGAGAGGATCACTTGAGCCCAGGAGTTTGAGATGAGTCTGGGTAACATAGGGAGACCCCATCTCTACAAAAAAAAATTTTTGCTGGGCATGGTGGTGTGTGCCTGTAGTCCCAGCTACTTGAGAGGCTGAGGTGGGAGGATCACCGGAGCCCAGAAAGTCGAGGTTGCAGAGAACTATGATTGCACCACTATACTCCAGCTTGAGTGACAGAGACCTTGTCTCATAAACTAAGTAAAGTAAATAAATAAATATTAATCATGCCATGCCATAACCCATCTTGATATAACTGAGGCATCTGCCAGTTTCTTCTCCAGTTCCAGAGCAGACTTCCAAGTCCTAAGTGTATGAGGTTTCCTTCCTTGGAACTCCTCACAAACAAGATTGAGACTTGAGAATGTCAGGCCTCTCATTCTTATCCAATGATCTTGACTCCTGAGGAAGTCCTCCCTAAGAGGATGGTACAGTCCCTACCACCACCCCTGCAGGAAATGGCATAGAGCTTCCCAGGCTGGCCCCCAAGGAGTGTGAACCAACAAAAATGCCATCAGGGACAATACATACATTCTACATAACAGTAATTTTTCAAACTAGCATCCAATGTTCTTTTCATTTCTAGGGATCATGTCTGTCCTGAGGCCCCGTTCCCACAGACACTGAGACCTCGATCACTTCAGGGCGAGGCAGATGTAGCTGAGAGTTCAGGAGATCGTGTTCAGCCTTCAACTTCTAGAACAGGCTCTTTTTAAGGATCGTTTATAAAGAAGAGTTAAAAAAGGCAATAATTTCACTAGGAAGAGCCAGGCTTTGAGGAGTATAAAAAGGGTGTTCTAAATCCCAGAAGTGTCTTTTGAATTATTAAGAAACAGAGACTGAGTAGACTTAGGGTGCAGAATGTTTGACTATAAGCCCTGGAGTGTAAATTAACACCGGGAAGGCATGAAATTAATTAAGGGGCAGTTTTCAGCCTTCCGGGATGAAGAAAACACCTCTGGGAGTTGAGGGAAGGAGTGCAGAGAGGGATCGGGAGGCAGACAGCAGGAGTGAGAGAACAGGAGTGGGGTCTGTCTCTTGGTCTGACTCAGGTTCAAATCCCAGGGCCAGGGGCAGGGAAGAGACCCCTTTAGAAAGGTCAATGCAGGGCCACTGGCACCTTGTGCTGCCAGGAATTTTGCAAGGAAATAGTTTTACAGAGGCCAACATGGCAGGCAGGTCAGACAGGGCCTGACAACTGCTTACTCCCATTGCCCAATTCCCCTTGCCCTCTAGGAGGTTATGGAGGACATTTCTTTCAAAATGTCCTGGGGACTTTCTAGAAGAACATGGAAGGAAGCCAAGATTTAAGATCAGCATGACTGCTGGGCAGCACACCTATAGCACAGGGAAGGGAATCCTGCATCAGAGGCTGTGACCTGGCCAGGCCAAAGCGGGGAGGTGACAGAGTCTCAGAGGCTGCCACAGGGGTCTGGTAGGTGGGGTTGATGGCTGAGCAGGTCTTGAGACCTCACAACTTAAGTTCCCCATCCCATGCCAGGCCAGAGTGTGCCAGAAACTTAGATCACCTCAAGAGAAAAAGGCAAAAAAGTTTACTCTATACAATCTAAGTACAAACCTAGAAGAGTCTGAATGACTTCACATGTCAAGTGTTTTTTTTTTTTTTTTTTCTGTCAGCTATGGAAATGGGACCTCCTAATTAAGTTTAGTTACAGAAACCACTTATGGCCCCCAGTTGCTCCTTCCCACACAAAAGTCCCGATCATGGCACTCCCCTCCCTCAGAGCAGGATTTGATTCCATGTAACAACATATAAAAGCAAGCCTCATCCTGCTAGTCTCCGTCTCCGCCTCCTACCTCCACACACTCTACACTATATTAACATGTTTATTTTCTCCAGATATGCTCTGCTTCTTCATACAGTCCCAGCTTCAGACACGCCACCCTGGCCCGCTGTATACACTCTGCCACAGGCTGGTTATATTTGGGGTAATTATTTATGTCTATCTATGCTCTCTCTCAAGGGTGAGGTCTATGTCTTATTCATTTTCTCTCATACAATTCCTGGCTTATAGATGCACTCAGGGGATTCATATATTAAACAATGACAGCCAAAATCATCCAAAGAGGGAACAGGCTGCCTTAGAAGGCAGGGAGTTTCCCATCATGGGAAATGTAAAAGCATCAGTTCTGCCAGGAGCTGGCAATGATGCCAATAAGGGGAAGGGAGCCTGGGTCAGTGACCCCTAGGAGGCCATCCTACCTCAAGAATCTGAAGGTTCATGAGTACCAGGAAAAGGCTGCTGCAGCAGCAGGCTGAGTAGGAAATAGTGGGAGCAAGCTGAGTGGAGTCTCATTGGTCCCCAGGAGTGGGGAAGATGCCTCTGATGGCACATGTCAACAATGGCTCTAGTATAATGCAGGGAGCATTAGACTTCTTGAAACCTTACACATATGGTAACTCTCTATAGTACATGCACCTGCCAGATAATGGTTTAATATATATAGGAAGGTATGCATGGGCGTACCCACAGTGCCTATAGATGAGATGCATGGTAGATTTAAAAAATAGCAGAAAATAAGCCAAGCCATTAAAACATTCACCCATTTTTTTGCTTCCACATGTGGTACCTGATAATATTACTAACATGTGACAAGATGACACTAGAAATATGGCAGGACTAATTTTGGAGACAAGGAGTCTAGATCATTAACTAGTCAGTTATCTATCTATCTTCTAGAAGGAAATTTCTTGGGAGTATACAATAATTTCATTGTGAAGACTTGATTATGAATGGGGAAAATGACTGCCCTTTAAGCAATGGGGTCCTGCAATTTTCATTTGATGAGCCCTGAAATCGAGCTTGAGGCCTGAAATTGAGCACTTCAGTGCTCAGGTTCATTCCTATATAAATACCTAGCTGGTATCTGTGCTATGACTGAGCCTTAGGACATGTTAACAGTGGCTTGTAGAAGCTGTTTGGGGGACACGTAAAGTTGTAACTCCCTGTTTGTATATGCTGCAGATGTCCCAGGGCAGATATCTCTTATTACACCTGATTATTGTGATGTGGTGGACAGGTGAGCACAGGAGGATGCCTCACCTGCTTCCTTTATGTGCTTGTAAACATCATCAGAGCCAGCAGAGGAATACGGAATGTCATCATGAGCCACAAAGTCAATCTGTTGAAGAGAGAGAAGAGTGATGTCACCACTGGGATGGATGTGCATGTCTGCAGATTTGAAGGGAGGAATGGTGACTCCAAAATGCCTCTTCAAAATAAGGCAGTTGTATGTTACATTTATAGTGGAGATCTGAATCCTTGGCTGAAGTGTATTTCCAACTATTTCCATTTCTATGAGATAATGGAAACTAGAAGAATAAATGTTTTGCTTTCTCTCCTTTGCTGATCCCTCTTTCTTCTCCTACCCATGAGAGTAGGTTTTCTTGGCCTTCTGTCCTTCTGCATCTAAAGTTTTTCCTTGAGAGAACCCATTCATTCTTTGAATGTTTATCATCCCTGCCATGATGAGGAACCGAAATCTTCATTTCCTGTCCCACTGATGGCAATGGGCCCTCCCATTTAGATAACATTTTATATCGTGAAAAGGAATTTGTCTCTTTCTCCTCTTGATCCTCATAACCACCTTGTGAGGTGGGTGGGCCACATGTTACTACTTCAGTTGGGACATAAGGTGCTGAAACTAGAAAATTTGTTAGATTTGCCTGAGGCTTAAAGACTGGAGTGGGCCACCAGGGCAACAGGCCGGGTGTTTTTAACTCCCACTGCAGCCTTCTCTTTTACCACATCTTGCTGTCACTTTAAATCATTCTGTCCTGAATTTAATTCATCTTCCTGAAAACAAGTGACCCCTTCCAATGGCACTTTTATTCTATTTTATTTTGGGTCTTGGGAAGACCCAAACCTTGGAATAAGCCTTCTTCCTCTACTTATTTCACTCATCATAGGTTCCGCTGGGGGATGTGTGTGTGTTTGTGCACACATGCATGTATAGGTGTGTGTCCATCATTCTCTCTCCATCGCAACTACACCAAACCCAGGACCTGGTCACCCAGATTACTGACATCAACTTGCATCTGGCCTTCCTCACTGTAGGCCCCCTCCTCTCCAAGCCATCCTGCTGTCACGTGGGGTATTCTCCTTAAACAGTGTTTTTTTTTTGTTTGTTTTTTCTGGTCATCTTCATCTTTATCCCTGTTTCCTGCAACATCAGGTAAACCCTCCCTGCCTAGATTTTAAAGCCCTTTATAATGGGATTTCACTCTACCTTGAGAGGTAATTTAGAGTAGTAGTAGTTAAATACTTGAGAGGTAGTTTAGAGTTGTATGATTCCCTGCCCCACTACTTACTAGCTATGTAACTCCTAAGTTGGGAGAAATTATTCCCTCAGGATTTCTGAAGCTCACTACTAGTGGCATTCGGGACTGGAGAATTCTTTGGTGTCAGGAATTGTCCTGTGCATTGGCACATGCTTAGCAACATCCCTGGCTTTTACCCACTAGATGCCAGCAGTACCCCTCTAGCTGTGATAACCCCAAATGTCTCAAGACATTCCCAAATGTTCCTCAGGGCAATCTCACCCCAGCTGAGAATCACTGGATTAAATGATATAATTATGTAAAAATGCTTAAAAATAATTAGTACGGAGTAAATCCTCAATCAGTGTTTATTATTATTATTATTATTATTATTATTAATTCTATTCTTAGTACTCAAACTTAGTTCCTCTTCCTCTCCAATGTATAATAACAACTTCTCAGGGTAGCTGTGAGACTGAATTCAATTCATATAATGACAAAGCCCTTAGCACAGTGCCGGGCACATGGTAAATACTCAATAAATTACAGGGCATCATTATCATTATAAGTATCCCCCATAATGCCTAGCACATGTTGAATATACAATAGATGCTTAGTAAAAAATGTGGTAGTGATTACTGGAAGTAAATCATATTGTAGTTTTTCCTTTTTCTTTTGATTCTCACTGGGAAATTGTCTCCTCGGCTATTACTCATGCACATTTATCAGTGTTCTCTATTCTCTTCTGCATCGTGGCTTTAAAAATAGAAAAGAAAATTCTTAGAACAGCTTAATCTTATTTTTTTGTACTGCTTATAAAAGGAAAGAATAGCTCCTAATGTAGGGCTGGTAGGGAGATGCAAAGCACATAATTTGATGCAGATCAAAAGAATTTCTCATGTTTTCAACTAATAAAAATCTTATGTCAGTAGGATTCTCAGGGTCACAAAATCATAGATATAAAGTACTTTCTTTGAAGGCTGACCTGTGACTTTCTGGATAAGATGTGTGTTCATTTATTCCATGAAAAAGAATGCCCGTGAATCGATAAGCATCAACAATTACAGTGGTGATGGTGGTGACAGTGACATTTTTGGCACTCTTGCTATGGACCAGCCAGTATTCTAACTGGTTAACTAAGATTATCTCTTAGATCTTCAAAACATATCACAAGGAAGATGCCAACATCATCCCATTTTACAGTTGAGGTAAGCGAGTACAGTGTGCTTAGATATTTTGTTCAAGGTCTGACAACGAGGAAGAGATAGAGGCAGGATTTGGACCTGGGTGTTCTAGCTTCAGGGCCCATACGCAAAGAAGTGAGAGGACACCAGTCCTCAGACTTGGGCGGAAGAAAGGTGCCACATCAAGCAATGCCACATGACAGTTCCTGAAGTTACCTCTTTTAGGAATTGAGAGAGACTTTGGGCTTTCTGTAGTCTTGGCTGCAGAAGCAGACTCCCTACTCTTGCTACTTAGGGAATACAGGAGAATGACAAGTACCTTGTGTTTTTCCAGAAACTCTGGCGTGAGTGTCCAGGGAGCATTTCTGATTACTTCATCTACATAGCGACAGTGTCTGAGAGCTTCATATCTCTCCGCTTCATTCATCACGGTGAAACCTTTGAATTTGTGGGTGAGATCATCACTGCAAACTGAAACAGGCAAATGCATTAAATTCTATTACTCGGACCAGGCCCTCCCTGCTCACGGCCACCCTGGTGCAGACAAGGCTTCTTCAGCAGGACAAAAGCAGCACAGCCTCGCTAGGTGCTTGGCATAATTGAACTCACATTTTCAAGGGAACAAAGGATTTGGAGAGTAAAGTAAGCTGAAATCCACCGGCAATTCAGAATTTCATTTTAGTGCTAATTACATCTGCATTCTCCACTGAGGCTTCTATTAAAATTCTTCTCTACACTACCTAATGACTTTCATATCTTTTTATTTTCCTATCCCACTCCTCAGTGAAAATTGCCATGCAGAAATAAAATGACCAAATGAACATAAACAGAAGGCAGAGAAGAGGCCTGATTTATATAGAAGGTTTGAATGATTTGAACAATCAGTTCCAATTCTTTTACTAGATCATTGTACTTAGTAACCCAAGTATGAGACAGATAGACAGACATACACACACACACACACACACACACACACACAGACACAGACACACACACACCCCCAGAGAGAGAGAGAGAGGGAGAAATATACTTCTGTTCCCTGGATTGAGGGCCAGTCACTACACAACAGGCCACTCAATTAAGAGGAGAAAGTCGTAAAATCAAAGATTTGATCTAGTAGAGTTCATCCTTTCCACATCTTTCATCCTTTCTAGATCTCAGATTCCTGAACCTTCAAATGGGGATAGTAATATCCTCCACTATCAGCCTTAGAAAAGATTTTTTAAGGACTTACCAAAAAAGTGCTTTAAACCAAACTGAACAATAAATACTATTCACTCTCCTATCTTTTGGTTGGCCAAGGCAGCTTTCCTAAGATCGCCTATGTGTCAGGAAGAAATAGCACTGTGGGTGCTGTCCCTGTTTACCAAGATTCCAGCGAGAGTCTTGTGGCGGCCAGTCAGAGCTTCCCTGACTGCTCCTTGCAATAAGAGATTTTCTTTAAAGTCTTATGTATTTATAATATTTCACTACTTTTTTTTTTTTTTTGAGACAGTCTTGTTCTGTCACCCAGGCTGGAATGCAGTGGTGCGATCTCAGCTCACTGCAACCTCCGCCTCCCAGGTTCAAGTGATTCTCCTGCCTCAGCCCACTGAGTAGCTGGGATTACAGGCACGCGCCATGACCTCCAGCTAATTTTTGTGTTTTAGTAGAGAAGGGATTTCACCATGTTGGCCAGACTGGTCTCGAACTCCCGACTGCAAGTGATCCGCCGGCCTCAGCCTCCCAAATTAGGATTACAGGCATGAGCCATTGTGCTCAGCCAGTAAATTCACTAATGTTAAGTGTACAATATGTGTTTAATTTAAAAAAAATTATTGATGTGTAATATTTATGGGGTAGTGTGATGTTTTCAGGCATGTATACATTGTATAATAATCAAATCAGGATATTTAGAATATCCATCACCTCATAGCTTTATCATTTCTTTGTGGTAAGAACATTCAAAATTCTGTCTTATAGCTATTTTGAAATATACAGCATTGTTAACCATAGTCACCCTACTGTGCAATAGAACACCAGAACTTACTCCTCCGGACTATAACTTGGTACTTGTTGCTGAACCTCTCCCTGTCCCCCACCACCTACCTTCCCCAGCATCTGGTAACTACTGTTCTACTCTCTATTTCCATAAGATCAGCTTCTTTAGATTCCATATATAAGTGGCAAATAAACACAATGGAATACTATGTAGCTGTGAAAAGGAACAAAATCCTGTCCTTTATGGCAACATGGATGGATCTGGAGGATATTTTGTTAAGTAAAATAAGCCAGACACAGAAAGACAAATACTGCCTAATCTCACAAGATACATTTTAAAAATGAAAATATAATCATTTTTTTGGAACCAAATGATGGCTCACACTCAGAATCAAACCTGGCCACGGAGTAAGCACAGCCAGTGTCAGCCTCAGCATCCTTGGAAAACTTTCTGTTGTAGTCCCTCCACATAATCTACATCCAAGCCATCAGCTAAACTGCAGGCTCTGTCTTCAGAGCACACCAGGAAACCATGTTTTTCTCAGCACGTTCACTGCTCCCATCCCTGCCCCTTCATCCTCTCTCCCAGGGATGACTGCAGCAGCCTCTTAACTGATCTCCTGATTCCGGCCTTGCCAACTCCCAACAACATATTCTCATTGGCCAGAATGAGCCTGTTGAAGCTTGTAAGTCTATGTCATTCCCAAACTCAGAACCCTTCCCATCTCACTCAGAGTAAAACCAAAGTCCTCCAGTGGCCGACAAGACCCACACCTCTGCCCACTCCTTGCCTCCCTGACCAATATCCTAGTGTCTCCCAGCTCCCTGGCCTCCTTGCAGTTTCTTGAATGCTCCTCCTCTGGTCAGGGCTTTGTACTGTTCCCCAAACCTGGAATAGTTGTGCTCCAACTATTCCACCTCATCCTCTCCCTCAATTCTTTCCCCCACCCTCTTCTTTTTTTGTTTGCTTTTTTTGTATGGAGTTTTGCTCTTGTTGCCCAGGTTGGAGTGCGATGGTGCAATCGTGGCTCACTGCAACCTCCGCCTCCCGGGTTCAAGCAATTCTCCTCCCTCGGCCTCCTGAGCAGCCCCACCCTCTTCTGAATTGTGATCCCCTCCTGCGTTACTTCTCCCTATGACACTTGTCTCATGTAACTGTTTTATTTAGTTTTATTGTTGGTGTTCCCCTATACAATCCCTGAGGGTAGGAACTTTTGTTTGTTTCATTTTCTCATGTACCATACCTGGCCCCTAGTAGGCTTTTAACAATATTTGTTGAATGAATTAACAAAGCCTGATACATATAGATACTCAACAAATATTTATTATTATTTACAATAATAGATATTATTATCTGTGATTCTCTCTCTCTCCACCCCCCACCCCCTTTTTTGCCAGAGTCTCCCTCTGTTGCCCAGGCTGAAGTGCAGTGGTGCGATCTCAGTTCACTGCAACCTTCACCTTCTGGGTTCAAGCAATTCTCCTGCCTCAGCCTCCTGAGTGGTTGGGATTACAGGTGCCTACCACCACACCTGGCTAAATTTTGTATGTTTAGTAGAGATGGGTTTTCACCATGTTGGCCAGGCTGGTCTCGGAGTCCTGACCTCAAGTGATCCACCTACCTCAGCCTCCCAAAGTGCTAGGATTACAGGCATGAGCCACCATGCCTGCCCTATAGGAAATTTCAATAGCGTACATATATATGCCGCTATATCTCCTATACATACTTCCTGTGATGTTTTCTATTGTAACAGTTTATATTACCAAAACAACATCAACCATGTGGCTGGCTTGAAAACTAATGAGTATCAGAATCACACAAGGAGCTTGTTAAGTACATGTAAAGAAATCCAGCCCACTCCCTGAGATTTTGATTCAGTGGGTCTGTAGTGGGGCCCAGACAGCCCTGTCTTTGACAAGCTTCAGAGATGATTCTGATGTGTACAGCATTTGAAAACTATGAAGCATATTATAAATAACTTGAGTCAAGAGCTCCACCAGTCTTTGAATCACCCATCATGCCCAGAGGTGGGGGGGCGAAGGTGGGCAAGAGGTGGCAGGTATTAGGGCCGTAATAACTATGTATTGATTTCCTGACTACATTAGCTTTTGACCCCATAAACAGGAATTCTTTATGGGCCGCGCAATATGATTTCAAAACTGACCTAAGACTTTTTAAATGTTCTTTTAGGACTTTATTAAAATACAAATCAAAGAATCATATTGAGCAGAAACGGATTTCAGATTCATTCATTTTCTATTTTAAACAGCACAAAACTAGGCCGGGTCGTATCCTCCCCCTTTCTGAATCTGCACCTGAGCAATTTGGTGTAACTTCTACATGACCGAGATAATGGCCTAGTGATAGAGCACAAAGAAAACAAACATCCTGTTTATGCCAATACAGGGTCCTATTTTCCTATCCCAGGAGTGACCTCAAGAAGCAGCTGAACATGCTGACCAGTTATTGTCTAAACATTAATTATGCCCAAAGCAGCACTGTTGTTCTTGAGTCTTGGCAAATGCACTCTGACAACCAGATGGAGAGCTCCAGGCAGCGGTATTCCATGGATGAATTCATTGAGCTATCTGGGAACTCATGCTGCAGCTAACCTATGCTGGCAGCTCACTGTGCTCCCACAGGAGAGAAAATACAGCATAGGGTTTGAACTTGGGAGCCCAACAGACTCGGGTTCTAATCTCAGCTCTGCTGTTACTGGGGAAGTTACTCAAACTCTCTGAGCGTCAGTTGTCTGGTATTTAAAACATGGTAAAGTTTTGAGAATTAAATCTGATCATCTTCACGAGCAGAGAGTAATGAATAATGTTAGCCATTTATGAATAGTAGTAGGAAAACAGGACCATTTATGGATATATTCCTTCAGATTTTGTGTTCTGTCTTTTCCCTGCCCCCACTCCAAGCAGATATTAGGGCCCCGTGATATACACTCCTTTGTAGGTGCTATGAGCTCAAGTTACTGGTAGACGGCCTGCCTTCCTGACTGCTGTTTTCCTGAAGCCAGAGAAACTTGGAGGGATACTCTGTAAAGAAGAAGACAATGAGAGAGGAGATCTCTCCAAATTGCAGAGAAAGGACCAAATGTCTATAGATCCCACAAGCACCAGGTGTCGGTGGCAGGACCTGGAGAGATGAGGATGTGAGCCACTAGGCAGGGGAGTTCCACCTGGGAACAGACTGCAGGTGCCTGTGACAGGTGCAATGAATCTTCTCCCTTCTAGTAATTATGTGGGCTCAGACAATGATGGCAGCACTAGAACAGCCCTGGGTTGAAAACTGGAGGCCCCTCTCCTGCTTCTGTAAACATTGTGGACACTTGTTTGAATCTGGGGAGGTGAAGAGAACCCAACAAAGATTGAGACTAGGCCGGGCACTGTGGCTCATGTCTGTAATCCCAGCACTTTGGGAGACCGAAGCGAGTGAATCATTTGAGATCAGGAATTCGAGACCAGCCTGGCCAACATGGTGAAAC